CACTGAATGGCTGCGGTGTGATTCGCTTAGTAACGCTGGGGGGGGGGAAAGGTCATAAAATCGGGCAGGGCTCCCTTAACAGCCGTCTTGTTTTGCAACGGAAACTCTGATCTCAGTGCTGGTTGTTAAGTCAAGGACCTTGGGGAGATGGAATCACTCAGAGGTGGTTTGCTGCTGATGTCATCGGCAGGCGGGAAAAGTCGTGATTTCATTAGTCAAAAGAAATATAAATCCCGCCATCTTGTGTGTGTAATGACGGGAAGAATGGGGGGGTGCCGTCACTTTCCCCTCCACCACAGACCCATACAACTCAGCCAGACCCCCTCCCCCAGAAGTCCTAGCGGGACCCCTGGAACCTGGGAAGTTCTCCCCACCCCATGGATGGCTTTGAGTCCCCTTTCTCAGTTGGGTTGTGTATTTGTTGTGATACAGAGATGCAGAATTGCAAGGAGAGCATCCATTGGCCATTGTGATACAATGGGTGCGGGGGTGGGGGGGGGGAGATAAGGTTTTGATGGGATTAGGAAGGGTTAAATTTCCAAACTTGGCGCTTCAAGAGGGGCCGAACTCCCAGAATTCCCCAGCCTGCTGGTCCTATTTGTTGTTGTTTTTCCTACCATTTCTTGGAGCGGAGAGATTGCAGAGAAAGGGATTGTAAGAGAGTAAGCAGGCCGCAACCGGTATTCCTATCAAATGGGATGCATTGGTGACGAGGAATTCTGGGAGTTGAAGGCACATTCCCTGCCTTGTTAAACCAAAACTCCCAGCTATCCCTGCCAGCCTGACCCTGAAGGATGCTGGGAGTTGTAGTGCAGAGAGCTGGTCAGGTTTGAAGTCGATAGAAAAACAGGCGGCATTCATCCCTTCCATTTTTAACCCTGCTGACGGGAGGGGATTATGAGTGTTGAAATCCTGCCCGTTGGGTCGGGGGTGGGGGAAGGTTCTTCTCTTCGGTAGGCCTTGCAAAGTTCTCTAGATGGGTTGGTAGGCCAGCTTAGCAGGGCAGGTTGTGGTCCTGAATACGGTGACAATGGTTGATGAGACTTTGAGGACCATGGTCGATGTGGGTGAACCTTGGATGGCCATGGTTGATGTGTTCGAGCCTTGGATAATCATGGTTGATGTGTGTGAGTCTTGGGTGACTGTGGGTGATGCGTTTGAGCCTTTAATAATTGTGGTTGATGTGTTTGAGCCTTTGATGATCAGGGTTGATGTGTTTGAGCCTTTGATGACCATGGTTGATGTGTTTGAGCTTTGGGTGACCATGGTTGATGTGTTTGAGCTTTGGGTGGTCATGGTTGATGTGTTTGAGCCTTCGATGACCGTGGTTGATGTGTGTGAGCCATTAATAATTGAGGTTGATGTGTTTAAGCCATCGATGACCATGGTTGATGTTTTTGAGCCTTCAATGACCATGGGTGATGTGTTTGAACTTTGGGTGATCATAGTTGATATGTGTGAGCCTTTAATAATTGTGGTTGATGTGTTTGAGCCTCCAATGACCATGGTTGGTGTGTTTGAGCTTTGGATGACTGTGGTTGATGTGTTTGAGCCTCCAATGACCATGGTTGGTGTGTTTGAGCTTTGGATGACTGTGGTTGATGTTTTTGAGCCTTCAATGATCATGGTTGATGTGTTTGAGCTTTGTGTGATCATGGTTGATTTGTGTGAGCCTTTAATAATTGTGGTTGGTGTGTTTGAGCCTTGGATGACTGTGGTTCATATGTTTGAGCTTTGGATGATTATGGTTGATGTGTTGGAGCCTTCGATGATTGTGGTTGATGTGTTGGAGACTTGGATGACCTTAAGTGATGTGTCTGAACCTTTGATGACCATGGTTGATTTGTGTGAGCCTTTAATAATTGTGGTTGGTGTGTTTGAGCCTTTGATGATTGTGGTTGATGTGTTTGAACCTTTGATGACCATGGTAGATGTGTTTGAGCCTTTGATGATTGTGGTTAATGTGTTTGAGCCTTCGATGACCGTGGTTGATGTGTGTGAGCTTTTAATAATTGTTGTTGATGTGTTTGAGCCATCGATGACCATGGTTGATGTGTTTGAGCTTTGGGTGATCATGGTTGATTTGTGTGAGCCTTTAATAATTGTGGTTGGTGTGCTTGAACTTTGGTTGACCATGGTTGATGAGTTTGAGCCTTTGATGATTGTGGTTGATGTGTTTGAGCTTTGGGTGATCATGGTTGATGTTTGTGAGCCTTTAATAATTGTGGTTGATATGTTTGAGCGTTGGGTGAGTGTGGTTGATGTGTTTGAGCCTTCGATGACCGTAATTGATGTGTTTGAGCCTTTGATGACCATGGTTGATGTGTGTGAGCCTTTAATAATTGTGGTTCATGTATTTGAGCTTTGGGTGACCATGGCTGATGTGTTTGAGCGTTGGGTGACCATGATTGATGTTTGTGTGACTCTCAGAAGCCCACGAGTGACGCCTCAGTGAATCTTGAGTGACCACGGATGACGCCCGTGTGGTTCTTTTAAGGCCATGCATGGCTGTCGTGTGAACTTCGGAAGATCATGGATGATACGTTGTGGCAAACTTTGTACTCCATGGAGGACGCATCTTGGGAGAGCATGGATGTTGTGTGTCTCTATATCTCCTCTGTCCTCCCTCCTTCCCCTTTCCTCTTAATTTTGCTCCATCCATTGGCTCTCCCTCCCTCCCCACAAAGTCCCAGGTGTGGATCGCTACGCCTCCCCCCCCCACCCCGTAATTCCTTGGCCACCCAGGCATTGTGGGGAGGGCCATGTGGGGTTCTGCCCCCCCCTCCTACCCCCCCCCTTCTCTGGGCCTTTTGGATTCTCCCAGACACAATTTGGTACTAATTACATGTTCCTGATTCTAATTGCCACATTGTGAATGATAAACAAAAAAACTCCAATTTTATTTAATTAAAGACCTGGGAAAATTCACCAGGGAGGAATTGGAGACGGTGGAGGAGACGGGGCTGGGAGAGAAGGCCACGGCCCTCCGCAGAGGAGGAAGAGGAGGAGGAGGAGGCCGGTCCGACGGGGGTGCTGACGCTAACCGGGACCCCTGTCCTTCCGTGGGTCTGGGCCCTCCAGTCGGCGGGGTGGTCCTCAATTAACGTCCATTCCTCACTCTATGGAGCCCGAGCCTCTCCGTAGACGTTCCTTTAGCAACCGTTCAAAGTTACGGCAGGGTTTTTTTTGGGGGGGGGGGAAAACAACTTATGACCGGTCCTCACACTTACGACTGTTGTAAGTGTGGACATTTAGGTGCCTGGCAAACCGGCGTGCGTTCAAGAACAGTTGCAGCGTCCCTGGGGGGTCACGTGATCCCCCAAGTGGGACCTTCCCTGCCGGCTTCCGACGAAGCCAGATTCGCTTAACGACTGTGACTCACTTAATGCCCGCAGCGATTTGTTTTTTTTAGAAAACGGTCGCCCTATGGGGCCAAATTCCCTTGCTTAGCAACGGAAATCGGCGGCTCTGTTGTGGTCATTAAGGCGAGAACGCCCTGTGCCGCACAATTCGTTTCACAGTTAAGGCGAGCCGCTTAGCAACGAGGTCAATAAAGAGCATAACACCAAGTGTGGCTCACTTAACAACGGCCATTGTGGTCGTAGCTTGGGGACCGCCTGTGCCCTTTTCTGGAGGCTGGGATGTCGCTCAGTGAGCCCCAGGAGACCACAGGCCGTCCTTGACTTACAACCATTTGATTAGTGACCGAAGTTACAACGGCACTGAAGGAACCGTTTTTCACACTTACGACCACTGCCGCATCCCCACGGTCGTCTGATCAAAACACAAATGCTTGGCAACTGACTTGAATTTACGATGGTCCCAGGGCCCCCATGATCCTCTTTTTACGACCATCCGCTGAGCAATGTGAAAGGGGAAGCCGGGTTAATTTAACGACCATGTGACTCACTTAACAACTGCAGGGATTCCCTTAACCACCGTGGCAGGCCAGGTCGTAAGACGATTCACGATTCACTGAAGAACTGTTCTTGCTTAGCGATAGGAATTTGTGGGGGGCATTGTGGTCGTAAGTCGAGGACTCCCTGTATAAGCCAGGAGCCCCATGGGTTGGTCTTAACTGTGAGACACCTGGACAGCTCCATTGTCCTTCTAGGTGACATCTCCACATCCAGAGATCCCATCTTGGTGTCCTTAGGGCAGTAGAAGAAGCCACTTGGACATCTTGAGATCTTCACATCTCCATAGAATGAAGACCAATGTGGAGGGCACCCTTCCCCAACCCAGGATGAGTTATGGGGTCTCCTTGGATTGGAGAACCCATAACTCCTGATCTCTCATCTCCTCCCTCTTCTTCTTGAGGGATCCCCTGGAATGCTTTGAGGTGGACCTTAACTGCGTTGGTGAAGGTTGAGGGATCCACTCTGAGGTGTATTGCTCCACATTACGGCCCGATTGGTGGCGTACGCTTGGGTTCCTCCTGAAGGCATGGCCCTTCCCTCTTCTCCCTTGGAACTGGAACCCCCGTGAGATGCTGGCCTGCATCTCCATCTTCAACATCTTCTGGGAAGTCCACCATGAGAACTTGGCTTGCCCGTTAAGCCCTCCTATACATCTCCTCACCCCGGTCTGTTTCCCGAAATGAGATTTGGGGTTGGGTGACTTGGTGGTGGGGGATGAGTCTCAACGGGTCTCATGAAGGGAAAGGACACCTCTTCAGCAGAGATGGAGAGATGAAGTTCTCCTGTTGGGGTCCTCCTGCCTCTAACTGCTGCCTTTTCTCTTGTTACTTCTGCTTGACCCACAACTTCCCTTCTCTCTCTCTCTCTCCCCCCTCCCTGAACTTCTAGGTGCCTCTCTCGGAAACCCCCCCCCCCAGCTGGCGGTTGTGGTGCTTCACCATGGAACGCAACAGATGTCCTACCTTCACCAGAACTTTGTTGGAGTTCTCCTCCTAGGACGGTTTGGGTTTTTTCGACTTCTGGGCTTGTCCGGCCTTCTTCCTCTTCCTCCTCTTCCTCTTCTGCTGGCGCTGCTTCTGACTCTTTCTCCCCCCCTCCCCCCACTTGTGAAGGACCTCCAAGTTGGCATCTTCAACCCGGCCACCATGTTCCTCTCGTCTCCCAGCTGCGTCCGCCGGATGTTGAACGTCCGGCCGGGTTCCGCCCTCCTCTTCTGGCTCCTGGGGCTGGCCCTACGCCCGTTGCCCATCTCGGGGCAGAAGCCCGAGGATAAGTACCCCGTGGTGCCCACCAATTACGGCAAGCTGCGTGGCATCAAGAAAGGGCTGAACAACGAGATCTTGGGGCCGGTGGTGCAGTACCTGGGCGTCCCCTACGCCACGCCGCCCGTCGGCGAGCGCCGTTTCCAGCCGCCCGAGGCCCCCGCTTCCTGGTCCGAGGTGCGCAATGCCACGGCCTTCGCCCCAGTGTGCCCGCAGAATATCCACGGCATGCTGCCCGCCATCATGCTGCCCGTCTGGTTCACCGACAATCTGGAAATCGTGGCGAATTACGTCCAGAATCAGAGCGAAGATTGCTTGTACCTCAACGTCTATGTGCCCATGGAGGATGGTAAGCAGCGGGCACAGGGTGGGCATAGGGGGGATTTTTTTGGGGGGTGGGGGCTGTCTTTAGGACCCTTCTAGGTCCCGGAGGGGGGGGGACCTTCCCTACCCAAGGCCCCCACCCCTCTTTTTTTCTCTCGATTCTTTCCTCGCTTGGATTGTCCCACTCAGCACAGTGCCAACTTCACCCCTTCTTCTTCGCCCAAGGTGTGCCCGCCTCGTTTTTCTTGGGGAGGGGGGAAGGTTTCTTCCAGCAGGCAAATGAAGCCCCCTTTTCTTGGGGGGGGGGAGGTCTCTCCAGCTGGAAAAGGAGGGTGTCTCTTTGAGGGGCCAGGGGGAGGGGGTACCCCCCCAAAAGGCAGGCGGTCTCGTCCTTTGGGATACGTGGGGGATGTGGATGGGGACCCCCTCCTCAAAAGCTCAGCTTGGCCAGTATGGGTTCATTTGGGACCCCTCCTCTCCTTTCTTTCAGCCTCCCGGCTCCTAAAACCTGCGGATTTTACAGGCAGTCTAACAACTGTCCGTTTAGCGACGGTTCGAAGTGACGACGGCCCTGAGAAATGCGACCCTTTTAAGACCCTTCCTCACACTTCCGACTGTCGTAGAGTCCCAAACGCGGTCTTCGTGTCACGCCATCCCCTTTCCCGACCTTTTCCGATAAGCAAAGTCAAGTGAGGGGGGGAGTTGGATTCGCTTAATGGCCGTGGGATACGGTGTCCACTTAACCAACCGCAGCGATTCACTTTGCCACGGTGGCCGGAAGGTGGTCGTAAAACGGGGCGAAACCGGCTTTTTTTTTTAAGGTTTTCGCTTGAGCTGCAGAAGCCTTGGGGCTCCGTCGCGGCCGTAAGTCGAGGACTCTCCGGAACAGGAAGTCCTTGACTTACGGCCGTTCATTTTCGCCACCCTTTGAGCGCTCCAAAAAAAGGAAGTCCTCGGACTTACAACAGTCCCGGCGTCCTATGGTCACGAGAACAAAATAGGAGGGGGGCGGGGTTGGCAACTGGGGGGTTTGTGGGTGGGGGGGCTTTCTCAAAGAGTTACGACAGAATTCCCGTCACTAAGCGAGGTGAGGTAAAAGAGAGGGGGAGAGAGGTGCCAGTTGGGAAGGGAACGGCTTCAAATGGTCGCTGAGCGAATGGTCATAAGTCGAGGACCACCTGAAGACAAGCGAATGGCCCAGTTGGAGCCCATAATTGTCTTTACTTCTTCCCTCCTCCTCTTCCTCCTCCCTTTGCTCCTCCTTTCTAAAGCTCCTGATTTTACCCTCCCCCTCTCCTAGTCCTCGACTTACGACACAATGGGAACCCGAATATCCATGGCCAAACCAGTCGCTAAACGAGTTCCACCCGATTCTACCACCTTTCTTTGAGTTTTTTTGCCCTGGTCGTTAAATGAATCAAGCCTCTCCCCCCCTTTTTTTGGGGGGGGGGAATAACAGAGCTGTTAAGTAACCCCCCACGGTCGTTAAGTGAATCCGGCTACCTTCATGGAGGCTCCTGGTCAGAAGATCGCCAAAGGGGATCGCGCGGCCCTGGGGACACTACGACCGTCATAACTACGAGTCATCCGGATTTTGATCACATGACCATGGGGATGCGGCGACAGTCGTTAAGTGTGAAAAATGGGTCGTCGGTCCCTTTTTTTCAGTGCCGTCGTAACTTGGAGCGGTCGCTAAACAAACGGTCATAAGTCGAGGACTGGCTGCATTCATTTATTTCTCATTTGGGGTGCCCCCCACTTAATTAGGCAGCTGCTCCCCTATTTCCTGCCCCCTTTTTTTCCGAGCCCCGAATGTCTCCCATCCACCGATTCTGCCACCCTGGTGCCGGTTTCGGATCTCGCTACGCCACCCTGGCTGCGGGCCAAGCTTCCTGCCCAGCGCCAATGCCAGTCCGCCTCTCTCTGCACGGGGGTGGGCTTCCTCTCCTGAAATGGGCGGTGAGTGGGGGGGGTCTCCTCCATCCCAGGGACAGGAATGCTGGCTAGGAAACCCCCTCCCCACCTTCTAAAATACAAATACAATGGCAGAGAAGTTGGAAGGGACCTTGGAGGTCCTCTAGTCCAACCCCCTGCCGAGGCCGGAAACCCTACCTTATTATCATGATATTTCTTTTATTCATTAAACATGAAACAGAATCAACGCTTGAAAATGGATCACAAATACCATTGAATTATTATACTAGAATTATTATTATTATTATTATTATTATTATTATTGCAGTTAGTCCTCGATTTACGACCGCAACAGAGCCCAGCGTCTCCATTGCTAAACGAGGCACGGCTTAAGCTGAGCTCCGCCCCATTTTACCACCTTTCCTCGCCACCCCCCGGGAAGGGAATCCCCGCAATTTGTAAAGGAGCCACGCGGGCGTTAAATGGAACCACGGTGACGGTAGCAAAAGGGGGGGGGGGATCGCCCAAACACTTCCCCCCCCAACTCCCCGGTACGCGGCGACCGTCGTAAACACGAGTCGTCTGAGTTTCGATCCCGTGACCAACGGAGATGGGCTGTTAAAAGTCCTTAAATCACTCCCCCCCCCTTCCTCCACTATCCGTCGTCCCTTCGGAATGGCCGCTAAACAGGACCGTTGTACGTCGAGGACTCCGGGGGGGAGGAGGAAGCGGGTGGTGGGGAGCCCTCCCCTCCTCCCCCCCTCCAGGCGGGGTGTTTTTCCCCCCCCTCCCCAATTTCCCGGACCGCCACCCATCCCTTTGCGGTACTGCTAAGACAGGTTGCCGTGGCAACAGGGGGAAAATGGCATTTTTTTAAAAAAGGGGAAATCGGGAAGAGGCAGCAAAAAACAGCCAGCCGAGTCTCCCCCTTTTTTCCGTTGAGGGGGGTGAGGATGAGGATGGGGGGGTGAGGACCCCTCCCCAATCTCTCCTCCCCCCCCCACTGCATCCTCCCCCTCTTCCCCCCCCTCTCCCCTCCTCCCCCTCTTTGCAGATTCCCATCCTTGATGCTGGTTGCAAGGAACAAAAATAACCCTCCATCAAAGGGGTGTGTGGGGAGTGGGGGGGGGGTTTCCCTGATTGGGGAAGGGGCCAGCAGAGCTCTATACCCCCCCCACCCTGGCATGGGGCAGTATGGGGGGGTCTTAGGGGGTTAGGGAAGAGCTAGAGAGGGGAGGGGGCTGTTTCTGCTGATGGGAAGAAGAAGGAGGGCCGAGGAAGTTTACACCAGGACAAATGGGTTTAATTTGGGGAATAAGGGGAGGGGGAGATCAGAGGCTTGGGCTCCGGATTCAGCCGCCCCCTCCCATCCTCACCCCCCTCTTCCTTCTTTCTTTCCTCTCCATCCTCCCTTTCTTTTCGTTTCCTGTCCTCCTTTTCCTGCTCTCCTTCCTTCCTTCTTTCTTTCCTCCTCCTCAAACTCTTGTTCCTCTTCCTCCTCTCCTTCCTTCTTTCCTTCCTCCCCCCTCCTCATTCCTGCCCCTTCCTCCTTCCTCTCCACCCTCCTTTTCCTTCCTGTCCTCCTTTTTCTTCTCTTCCTCCTCCTCAAACCCCTGTTAGTCTTCCTCCTCTCCTTCCTTCCTTCTTTCCTTCCTCCTCCCCCTCCGCTTCCCCATCTCCCTCCTCCTCCTCTTCCATCCACCTCCTCTTTCTCCTCCTCCTCTTCTTTCTTCCTCCTCTTCCATCTCTTCCTTCCTCCCGTCCCCTCCTCCTCTTCTTCCTTCCTTCCTTTCCTCCTCTTTCTTTCTTTCTTTCTTTCTTTCTTTCTTTCTTTCTTTCTTCCTTTCTTCTTCCTCTTCTGTCCGCGTCCTCTTTCTTCTCCTCCTCTCCTTCCTTCCTTCTTTCCTTCCTCCTCCCCTCCTCCTCTTCTTCCTTCCTTTCCTCCTCTTCCTCCTCCTTCCTTCCTCTTCTTTCTTTCTTTCTTTCTTTCTTCCTCTTCTGTCCGCCTCCTCTTTCTTCTCCTCCTCTCCTTCCTTCCTTCTTTCCTTCCTCCTCCCCTCCTCCTCTTCTTCCTTCCTTTCCTCTTCTTCCTCCTCCTTCCTTCCTCTTCTTTCTTTCTTTCTTTCTTTCTTCCTCTTCTGTCCGCCTCCTCTTTCTTCTCCTCCTCTCCTTCCTTCCTTCTTTCCTTCCTCCTCCCCTCCTCCTCTTCTTCCCTCCTTTCCTCCTCTTCCTCCTCCTTCCTTCCTCTTCTTTCTTTCTTTCTTTCTTTCTTCCTCTTCTGTCCGCCTCCTCTTTCTTCTCCTCCTCTCCTTCCTTCCTTCTTTCCTTCCTCCTCCCCTCCTCCTCTTCTTCCTTCCTTTCCTCCTCTTCCTCCTCCTTCCTTCCTTCCTCTTTCTTTTTTTTCTTTCTTTCTTTCTTTCTATCTTTCTTTCTTTCTTCCTCCTCTTCTGTCCGCCTCCTCTTTCTCCTCCTCCTCTCCTTCCTTCCTTCTTTCCTTCCTCCTCCTCCCCTCCTCTTCTTCCTTCCTTCCTTTCCTCCTCTTCCTCCTCCTTCCTTCCTTCCTCTTCTTTCTTTCTTTCTTTCTTTCTTTTTTCTTCCTTTCTTTCTTCCTCTTCTGTCTGCCTCCTCTTTCTTCTCCTCCTCTCCTTCCTTCCTTCTTTCCTTCCTCCTCCTCCCCTCCTCCTCATCTTCCCCTCTTCCATCCACCTCCTCTTTTTCCTCCTCCTCTTCTTCCTTCCTCCTCTTCCATCTCCTCCTCCCTCCCCTCCCCATTCTCCTCTTCCTCCCCTTCCTCCTTCTTTCTCCCCTCCTCTTCCATCTCCCCCTCTTCCTTCTTCTTTCCTTCCTCCTTCCCCTCTTCTTCTTCCCCTGTGTGCAGAAGGCAGGATGAAATATTTTTCTGGGGGGTCTTCCCCCCACCCTTTCCTTCTCCCTCCCCCTCCCCATTAATTCCTGCTTAGTCAAGTCAGGGGGGAAAAAGCACAGACAGCCCCCCCCCCCACCTCGCAAACCCCCCTCCCTCCCACGTTGTGCCATTAAAGAAATCTTGTTTGTGGCTTAATCACAATTAGTTTGCATGTTCTCCCCCTAGAATTAAAAGCCAGGCCCTTCCCCACCCCCAGATTCGGGGGCAGGGGGAGGGCTGGGGAAAGAGGAGTCGCAGCATAAATCTGCATAAATCTGCATGGGGATGAGGGGCCTTTAGCGTCCCTCCCCAGGAAAGAAGAGAGGCATTGGGGGAGGGGGCTGCAGGTTACCAAGCATTTCTATGAAAAATAATCAATTGGGGAGGGGGGGAGACTGGATAATTGGCAGATGAAGCCGGGCTCCCTAAAAGGAGGTTTTTCAGGGAGTCCTCGCCTTACGACCACAACCGAACCCAATATCCCATCGCCAAACAAGTGGGGGGGCTGCGCTCCCCGCAGTCGTTAAGCGAATCCCTGCGGTTGTTCAGCGAACCTGGCTTCCCCGTTGCTCGTCCGAAGGTTGCCGAAGGGGAATCGCGTGATGCTGAAGCCCGCCACAAATACGAGACTCAAACACGGTCGTAAGCGCGAGGACAGGTTTTTTTCATTGCCCAAATGGTTATAAGTCGAGGGATTCTCATACTCTATCCCCCCCCACACACCAAATTATAAGGAAGTGCCCCCCCCCTCCAGCTGCAACCTGCAAGAAAGGGATATATATATATTTTATTCGCTGTGTTTTCCGTGGCTTTTAAATAAAATAAAAACACTCCAGGATAAATCCAATTTTTTTGCCCAGCTGTGCACAGCAGACCCCTTGAATGGGCCTTCTGGGGACCCCCTCCCTCCATGGACATCTTCGAATGAGGAGTGGCGGTCCAGCACATCTGGAAGGAATAGAAGTTGAAGGCCAGCGGGATAGGGTGGAGCCCTGTCCCAATCGGAGCACTCTGGGAATTATAGTTCGGGAAGGAAAACAGCGAGAAAGACTTCAATTCCCAGGATTTGTGGGGGCAGGAGGAGGTGCAGGCGGGAGGAACAGTAGGACAGTTGGAAAAGATGAGGGGGGGTCCTGGGGGGGGCTCAGGAGCTGGTCCCCACCCTGAAGGGTCTCTCTTGCGCCTTGTTCTGCTTTTTCCCCCCTTCTTCCCTCTCACTAGCTTCTGTCTTTAAGGCCAGCGAGTGATAGCCTCTATCCCCATTTAAGGGGTGGGGGACAAAGGAAGGGGACCCTTTCCCCGAACTCGGCCAACGGAGCCGAGGGGAGAATTCAAACCCTTCACCACGTAGCCAACGGAGCTGGGGGAGGGGGGGAAATTCTCCCCCTCCCCCTCCACGATATCCCCCACTGTGTCAGCATCCCAAATCAGAGGCAAAGGATTGTTCAAAGTTCCCAATTTATGAAGAGAGCCATTGATTGATCGATTGATTGATTGATTGATTACATTTATATGCCGCCCTTTCCCCCCCCCCCGAAGGGGACTCAGGGCGGCTCACAATTCAATCAGGGAAGGGGGATAAAAAGACAAGACATAACAATAAAAAATTTGCCATGTTGGCACATCTGGGGAAACCCAAAATCTGAAAGCTTCCTGGTTTCCCACCCACCCAGTTGAAAGTTTATGATCTTGCCCCCCTACCCACCCACAATAGCAATAGCAGTTAGACTTATATAGCGCTTCATAGGGCTTTCAGCCCTCTCTAAGCGGTTTACAGAGTCAGCCTCTTGCCCCCAACAATCTGGGTCCTCATTTCACCCACCTCGGAAGGATGGAAGGCTGAGTCAACCCTTGAGCCGGTGAGATTTGAACCGCCGAACTGCAGATAGCAGTCAGCTGAAGTGGCCTACCCACTGCGCCACAAGTCCATCCCATGGTCCAATCTCTCACTGCCCTGCTGGCAGTTTCCACCCATCCAGTTCCGGTCAGGTGCAGAGGTGCAAAGAATAAAAGATGACCTTGGTTTTCTAGAAAGGATGTTGTTATGGCTACCTATCGTCTAACTCCGTACAATCCCATTTTCCCACCATAGAAAAAGCATCGTAGAATAATAGAAAATGTCTGCAGGCCTGGCACTCTGGGCCATCCAGACGTGCCCCTCTCGCTGGCTCCTGCCCCGGCCTGCCTTTCCTATCCCAGTAGGTGGTAGTACCCATCCTCCACTGCCCTCCACTGGCTGGAGAAGAGAGCTGCTCGAAGTCTTTGAAACGGGGATGACGAACCCTGTTGGAAGAGCGGAGGGCCACTACCTCTTGCCTCTGGACTGGTGGGTGGAGGCTCCCCCCCCCCCCCAGAAAAGAGAGACGCAAATTGTGGGTGTGTATTTGTGCATCATTCCACACATACACTTCAGTTTCCCCTCAATTTGGATGGGTTTTTTTTGGGGGGGGGGCTGAGGGTTGAGACAGAGATGGCGAACTTTGTAGAAGCTTCTCCCAAGTTTGAAGAGGACTACATAAACCACCCCAGTCCCATCTTTCCAGGGGGGGGGTGTCTTCCGTGCTTACTCCCTTCCGCAATTTGAGTTGCCTCTCGGTTGTTTTGACTCCTGCCCCCCCCCCATTGTTTACTATGTCCTTGGCTTGGTACCCCCGATAATCCAGATTTTTCCTCTTAAGCCAGGGGTGTCCAAACTTGGGAACTTTAAGACTTTAATTCCCCAGGCGGGGAATTCTGGGAGTTGAAGTCCACAAGTCTTAAAAGTTCCCAAAGTTTGGACATCCCTGCTTGTCCCAGATTGTCTCCTCCTTTCCATTAAACCTTGGGTCTTCCCCCCCCCCTCCCAGCGTTCTCCTGGTTAATTTGAGTTGGGGGTCCCCAAACGTAGCCACTTTAAAGACTTGTGGACGTCAATTCCCAGAATCCCCCAGTCGGCAAGGGTTTTACCAGAATTCAGCATAGATAGAGGATAAGAACAATTGTGGTTAGACAATTTTGAAATCGCTTAATAGATGGTGGGAATGCAGTAGACGTAATATATCTTGAAGTCAAGGAAGTGGGGAGGGGGGGAAGAGTACTGGCGGGGGAATTCTGGGAGTTGAAGTCCACAGGTCTTCAAATGGTTGATGTAAAGAATCTAATAGATCACTAGGAATTGGCATCCTTTGGCCCTGTTTTTCCTGGATTGTTTTAATTAACTTTATATCAGGATCTATTTACAATCATGGCTACTTTTAAGGCTTGCGGACTTCGATTCCCAGAATCCCCCAGCCGGCAAGGGTTTACCAAAATTCAGCATGGATAGAGGACAAGAAGCTAGCTAGACTATCGCATTTTTTGAAATCGCTTAATAGATGGTGGGGATGCGTTAGATGTAATATATCTTGAAGTCAGGGAAGTGGGGGGGGGGGAAGTACCGGCTGGGGAATTCTGGGAGTCGAAGTCCACAGGTGTTAAAGTGGCCAAGTTTGGAGACCTCTGGGTTAATCATCTGGAGTGTTTCTCAACCTTGGCAACTTGAAGATGTCCGGACTTCAACTCCCAGAATTACCCAGACAGCTTCCCTAGATAGATAGATAGATAGATAGATAGATAGATAGATAGATAGATAGATAGATAGATAGATAGATAGATAGATAGATAGATAGATAGATAG